GTTGATGAATGTAAATGGCAAAATGCACTCTCAGTCCATGTATAAGTTGATTTTCATTCTTCTGAAACATTCACTGAGAATTATTTATCAAATTGATCGCCGTTAATCTTTTTCAGTTTATTTGTTTTAAATACGAAGAAATTGTCGGTTTCGAATTATCTCCTAGGATATTTGCCTTACCTAATTGGAAAACATGCTTATGATTAACCATTGCACCTTGAGCTATCCTTGTGTTCTATTTGCGGCGGACCAGATTCAAGGAGGACTGAAATGTCGATCTCCTAGATACTTCTGCCTTATACAAAGCAATGGACTGTTGTAGCTCACGTTAATAGTAGTGCAATGTTTATTCCACAAGAATTCAAAAAGGCCTCTTACAAGTCATCGTTTAAGAACTTTTTCGTGTTTTTTTCGTTTTGAGTTTTTTTTCTGAGGTTCTAGTTCACTAATTTATTAATTAAAGAGTGCATTACTTTGCTTATTGACAGGGAAGTCTATATCCTAGTTTCATATTATTTTATACCTGATACAGCTTTCGGAATGTTTGATCCCACTATCATAAAGTGGCGTTTGATTTATACCATAAGCTTTCTTGCACTTGCTTGGACTCTTACATTCTTATATAGCTTTATTCTACTTTGCTTTCAGTCGGATGCTCACGACAACATCCAATTCGAGTCTGAATCAAGTCAGTCCAATTCCGACAGGAGTTCGCAGCGGACTCATCCCCGACAGATCAAACGGCTTGATCAATCCTCCTTGAATCTGGTCCGCCGCAAATCCGAGCTTCCACATAACCCAGCCACCCTCAAGGCCCTGCAGCAGCATCATCGCCTTGATGGCTTTCTGTCTGCCAACATGGATGAGTAGAGATATAGGGCTGATGGGTAAACCTAAGTCTATTATGTCTAGCATTATACCACGTTTCTCATTTGTGCTCATTTGATGCACCAACCTCTCATGACTGTCATCTCATTTGTTCATCCCGCCTTTTTATGCTGTCCTTAATTCATAACGATCCTCATACCGCTCTCAATTTTCTTATTTTCCTTTTTTTACATTCATTAAAGCCTGATTCCTTTCGATTCGCCTTTGGTACTATCTACCTGCCATTTGCAGTCGCTTGATGTCATCCCCGCGTAAATACTCATATACACATTCCCACACGCAGGCTTATATACACAAGTACAGTCGCCTCTCACTTTTTATTGCTGTCTTCCATCCTTCTACGCCTTACTTTTTTGACTATTCGCTCAGTAACTCAACAT